TGACATCTGGCAGAATAACAGTCACTACGCTCTGACGATGGAAGCGAGAATGTTTTTGAAACGTCAGCACAAATACAACTTAGTCTAAAAAATTGCCCCGTCTTCCTCTTCCGGGGATGATGAAAGCAAAGCATTATTATATTATATTAGCCGGGTCCGAACCAGATAGCTGGTATTTTCTTAGGAATAAGAAGGAATTTGGTAGCTACGAAGGGGCAAACGGCCGGGAACACCACAAAAAACAACTGTTACGGATGACAGAAGAATTAGCGTTCTCCAGAGCAGCTCATCGGATTAGAAAAATATACATCAACGGATAAAGTAGTGCAAGAAATTGGCTGATGTCTAATCCTTTATGGGCAGATATGGTCATCAGAGATATCCGCAGTCAGCAGTTTGCGTAACTAACTTGAGCTCAGCCTGATCCACAGACTGCGATGCAAGGGCATAGGAACGACAAAGGCGTCTTTCCATACCCTTCTCGTCGAGCAAATTAATTGCTACCGTACGCCCGTAGCGTTGCGTAAAGCAGACCTCATGGAAGTGCTGTTTTAGGATCGCTACTTGCTCGGGAGCTACCTGCACCTGGCCAAGCAGTTCGTCCTTTTCCTCCTTGCCGTTCTGCACCTCTGCCAGGTTAGCAGGCTCATTTTTACCGTGACCCATTTTCACCGGGGGCTTATACTTGAGGTTAGGTTGTTGACTCCAGAAGAGTGGCACTGATCCTCGAATCTAAAAAGTTAAGGGAAACTGGTCAGCCGATTCGTTGTGGAAGAAAAACAGCGCAGAGCTAGACTATGCTTTTACCAAGAACATGCGAATCTTCAAACCGGGGCAGATGGAGGGGATACCCCTATGAACTGGGGCATATTCTGCTCGCCACCTAACGACCAACGTAATGGCAGTCGGGCATTTTAAAAGGTCAACTTAGTGTAGGAGTAAAGAATATGAACGCGTTATCACTAGGACAACATGAGTATTTATCTGACCTTTTGCGCTCGTAAAGGCGACCATCATCAGAGACTGCTAACGTACAACAAGAAGTCACACACTCACTTCCAATAATTAGTGAAAGAGTGTCAGCCAGTCATCCCATAGTTAACCAGCACTGATGGTTCACCCATCGTAACTGACGGCACATTTATTCATCTGAACGGCTTTTAGTTTGTGTGTATCGTTCGTGTAATTTGTGTTTCAGTGCATTGGTTAATCTGCTGATTGAATCTTAAGTCTACACGTGTGTTTTTAAGCGGGGGAAATGAGTATAAAGAAGAGTAGAGTCCACCAAGGATTTTGTCGGCAACGTCACTGCTGACTGTGCGCTTTTAGAGCAAGAGGATCAAGCGACAACAACAAAGGTAATGAACAACTGTAGCTGAATAAAAGGTCACAAAATTGCATAACTTCACTAAGGTCGGCTAGTCTCGTGGTCTTTGTCTTATGGTGACTTGTCGCGCCGGAGTCATGAATGTAAGGAGGCCTGGGCTCTGGCACAAGACTGCTTATGCTGAAAAAGCATCACATGGCTGTACATTTTCATCCTGGGAAATTCACTAAACATAAGAACTAACCGTAAATTAGGCTAGCAAATTGTCAAAATCAATCTATCTCAATCCCCATTTCGGGGTGCGAATACACATCACAAAACAGGCTGTGAAGTAAAAAATTAACAACATTCATCGTATATCATGCAAAATTCGCCATGCCCGAGAGGCGGGATTTATTAAATTCAAGAAACCATCACTAAGATGACTGGAATTTAAATTAAAAAGGGTTGCATAAGAAAGACACTTTCAACACCATAAACCATAGCACGCAAAAAGCGCAGACCCTGCGTCCACCACGGTACACGGTGCACATGGCCGGCAAATTAACTGTGCTGTTGCAAAGAGTAGAAGCAACACGAACCTGTACAAATGAGAAGAAGTTGCCAGTTGGAATGTATACAATCTGCTCTGTTTCTACTGTATTGGCCGCATTCGCGTCCTTGTCCACTCCACGAGCATAGAAGCGTGTTCCTGCACGGAAAACTGACCGGCGTGAAATCAGTGCATAGCAGGGCTTATCCTCGGGTGCATATGCAGTACTAGGTGTTGTGGGCTGTAAAATTTCCACGAAACCGAAGATTACGGGGGTAATGAAGCTCCCGAGTTTGGGCCATGCATAAACGGGTGGTGCGTTTAACGCCGCGGACACAAGGCCACACCAATCATCAAGAAGGAAGCCATTCCAAACGAATCGCCTTTCTGCCTGTAAGGAATAACAGGGAAAGTAGGCAGCAGGTGAGTGACTGATGAGTATCAAGGCTCTTAGACCGAAATGAAGTCATACAATAAGTCACCAACTCGCACCCATAGCAACGTATAGAATTTCAATGAGTCATGGAACATTGAACCCTGGGTAAGCAAATTTTAAAAATTACAATTTCGACCCAAAGAGATTTATTGAATTGAAAAGACATAGGACTCGATGTAAGTGCTGCGCAGGTGTGGCGCAATAAACTGAGATCGGCTTTGCGATGAGGTCATTCAGGAAAAATGTGACCGATAGCGCAACACAAATCGAAAGTCACGGAAAGGCTGCGTATACAATATAGTTTCGCCAGATTCGGATGACGTCAGAGGGTTTGCCTGAATAGTGATACGTTACAACAGCGTGATTGGAGGTCTCGACATTTTCAATAATCTAACAATTCTCTTACCGTTTTCCCCTTTTTATAGATTCTCAAGAGAAAACTCTACGTTTTGTCGGGAAAGTTTTGCACAAACGATGCTGACCACGGGAAAGAAACTCAAAATTTAAATGAAATACGATAGGTAGCGGTTGCATTTAGTCAATCAACAGCAATTAGCGCTGTTCTTGAAGTATGATACAAGTCTAGCAGCGTGACAATCGAGACCGCGTCAGATTAATCGCACTCCATACTCTTAATACAGAGGGCTAAAAGGCGCAAAGTCAACATAGCTTAAAGTAAATTGGAAAAAGAAAGTGGCACCAAAATGGTAACGCGGACAGTTCAACAAAGGCAATTGGCTCGAAGCAAATGCCTTCGGTTGGAGCATGAGAACAATTTTCGATTGGTAGTTACTTACTTCCTTACTTTCTTGGTAGTTACCTACCCTTTCAAAAAGATTTTGTCGTTTTGCATCTGGACCGAGTTCTGATAAGCGTTGTTGCGTGAGAGTTAGGTCGTAGGTGTGGGAAAAGTAGAATCCCTCGATTCCAAGTACATGTTTTAGCATTTCGACGTAGGTGGTTTCAATTTCCATCTAAAATTATTAAATGATAGGATTGGTCGTAAAAACTACCTCTTCCTCGTTGAGATTAGAGGTTGATTTTGCAAATGGGTGCACAGAACATTCGAGAGCCCTATAAATCTTATGGCCAAAGAGTTTTCCAACTAATTCTCGTTTGTCAACAGTGAGAAGATAACGTCCGGATAACAATCGTATTGTCCCGAGAATGCCATATATGGTAGAGGGCTTTGCAGATACGTCATTGGGAACTGGTTGTTCGTAATCTGTTTTGATTAGTGTTAAGTGACGGCGTACCTGCTGGCTTAACCTCCTGGGTTATGCGGTCAATTACCAACGGCCTCTGACGCTCGCTTTGATTCCTTAGATAAATCACATATTGGTCTGCCTCAATGTAGCTGTTGCAAATTATAAGGTGGAATCTCAGACTTACAAGTCGTAGGTTGTATCAAAATCCATGAGTGGCAACGTTGATCTGTCGGTTGTTGAGCAACGAAAAGAGAATAAGCACAGCTCAGGCCGACCAAAAGTAAAATATGCATGAAGGCCGATATAAAGGGATAAGATGATTGATAATATAAGTGGTTCTGACTAACCATGTTCTGAATTATCCCATCCACACGAACTAAACTGTCGTAGCCTTTACTCCTAATAAGACAACATGAACTTTCTACGGTTATTAACTTTCTAACAGAGTTGAGCCGCACCGCTGAATTCCAGCAATTATGGCTAAAGCCCTGCCAATGAGCTTCAGTCGATGAGAATTGGCAATACTCGCAGACTTCTGACTCACTGGGGGAAGTTAACATGAGACCGGTCGATCGCTATTCAGGGATGTAAGTTTTTTAGGTAAGTGGTCGAAGCAAATTACTGGCTGTAAAATTGCCTGTTTTTTTCATATTCTGCACGGTCAACGTAGCTGAAAAGTAACATCAGCCGCTTCCTATGCAAAGATCGGCTGGGCATGAGCCAGACATAGCTTAAGATATATAAGCGGTAAGGCAATTAAGGTATACATGATACAAGGCTTGGCGTCCATAAAGAAAGACTTTGCGCATAAACATGTTTTCGGGCAAAAAGGGATTGTCGCATGAGATACATATATCATATAACATTTTATTGTGCCTGAAACCATGTTCATGTGCAAAGGCTGCCATTCTGAAAGCAGGTCTCACAAGACCCATCTAATATGTTTGATGTTAATACTCCTTGATAACTAATGAACATATGGATGATAAAGGAAATTTATTTTCTTATAAGATAGAACAAGACCTTTCAAAGGTGGAATGGTTGCGGATATATCCGCTTTAAGGCCAACATAATTTAAGTAAGTTATGATACATTAGAAACCCTGAACGGGCTACCAGAACTGACACCAATCTTATTCCAATGAACGCACAATAGTGGACAAGAAGTCAGGTGATATTAAAATTTCAACGGCCGAACGATGAAAAAGACAGTGAATCCTATTTTGCGTTCTTTACTGGAATTTCAGCGTAGTAAAACTACGAGTATCAATTTCGCTTTGGTTGTAATTTTCATTTTATTACGAGATTCATGTGTCTACGCTTCAATTAGTATTCTCTAATGTTATGTTAATGTTCCTGAATGCGTGCTTTTAGTCTCGTAGAAAGCAGTCTCCTTGTACCTTAGCTAATCGTTACGAATGCCCATTTCAAACACCAATTTGCGACGCACATATAGTTCCACGCTTGACGTTTTTCGCATTTTTTCGTATCATGATGATTATTCGTTTACCTTCACTTCTTCTATGTATTTTGCATTTGCATTTGGAGCAACAGCAATGGCCTTTTTTTTGTAGTGGTCATATTTATTTGCCGGTCTTATACTGCAATTGTAGTGGACCTAAGCGCTACTGGGGAAACCCGTGAAACAAACCAGCCTTGTCTATAGGTGTGGGAACGTACCAAGGTCACTTATGGCGTGGATCTGGATGAGGATGGTGTCAACGTCTGTTGCTGAAGATGACGGTTTTCCTTCTCTTGCCCTTCGCCGACATTACTCCCCCCTCGTAACGTATCGTCGCTTTCTAGCCTTCAGCACCTCTATGACCCTTACCCGCAGTTACCCACAGCGCTGCTCTTCCCACCGGTATCTAACTGATATTCTGTGATCGCTCTTCACTACAAATGGATCATCTGTACCGACCCTTGGCAACTTCAGGTATCGTATCCCCCCAGCTGGTGTTCAGCATTATTCTTGGGTGAATGTAGACAAATAAGCCCGAAACTGCTCTGTATCAAGTTACCCCCAAACGCTCTCATCTCTCTCTGCTATTATGACTTGGTCGGTATCGGCCTGGCAGGTGGTCATCCACTTCGGGACCTCTAGCCACCACGTGAATTTTGTGTACTTCTGAAGCATATGGGATCGGTGTTCGGATATTCCTGGGTGCTATCTCTTCTATATCAACAGATCTTATTTTTCACTATCT